GGGAAGGGGGTGGGCTGGGCCCAGTGGGAGTCCCTGCCTGTCCTGCTGGGGATCCTGGGCTGAGTGGCCAGCGCTTCCCTCCAGCTGGTGAAAAACAAGGCCTATGTCATCCTGGCTGTGTGCTTCGGGGGCGGCATCGGCATCTTCTCCAGCTTCTCAGCTCTCCTGGAGCAGATCCTCTGTGTGAACGGCTACTCCAACGTGAGTGCCACCCTGCCCAGGAGTCCGCGGCTCCTGTGTGTGGCCCTGCAGCGGCCCGTGATCTCCCCCAACCCTGGGTCTCCATGACTGGACAGGGCACTTGTTGTGGGCACTGTCGAGATGCTGAGTGTGAAGCGTCAGATGCTACAGGCAGTCCGCAGGCAGTGGGCTGGGCCTGTGCCTGTGCTCAGGGTGTGGGAATTGGGGTTCTCTCCCTTCTTCCTGACACCACACCCAGGACGCAGACTCTGCAACTCCAGGGCAGGGTCTTCTCTGATATTGGAATGAGAGGAAGGGCCTTGGTCTGCTCATGGCCTCTCTGGCTGTGCCCTCTGTTGCCTGGCAGTGGAAATGAGGCCTAGCATGTTCCCAACCCGTCGAGGGGCATTTGCAGTGACCAGGCCCTTCCCTTTGGCAGCTATTGAGTTCCCAGGGCAGAGGTAACACAGGGAAGAGGCACCCCCGGGGGTATACCACCCCCTCCACAACTGGTGGTGCAGGGAGCCTGTGGTGTGGCCCTGCCTGGGCCTCAGTGTGGCTCAGTGACCTTGCCCTGGGCTCCCTGGTGATGACATACACCCTATGGATGAGTGCCCCCTGCTGGGTCCCTGGTGGCACGGTGCCCCCATCATGGGTGCCCCTGGCCTCCTCCCCTCCTCCAGGAGTTTGCAGGCCTCTGTGGGGCTCTCTTCATTGTGTTTGGGATCCTGGGGGCTCTGGTGCTCGGCCTGTACGTGGACCGGACCAAGCATTTCACAGAAGCCATCAAGGTCGGCTTCTGTCTGACCTCTGTGGCCTGCGTGGCCTTTGCCCTGGTGAGTGTCCCCTCGAGCTGAGACCACCCTGCAGGGGGATGTGGGTGCTCCTGGGTGGGCAGCTGGCAGCTCAGCCAGAACAGACATCTAGGCCCTGCCTGCTGGGGTGGACCCTGGGCATGGTCCTGCCCCACTCTGCTGGCACTGACAGTGCAGGGCCTGCTGGGTCGCTGTCCAGGACTGTGGCGGGTCTAACTTATGTCTCCTGGGTGCCTTGCTGCCCAGGTGTCCCAGCTGCGGGGACAGACTGTTGCGCTGGCTACCATCTGCTCGCTGCTTGGGCTCTTCGGTTTCTCTGTGGCACCGGTTGCCACGGAGCTGGCTGTCGAGTGCTCCTTCCCCGTGGGTGAGGGCTCAGCCGCAGGCCTGGTCTTTGTGCTGGGGTGAGTGTGCCCCCCTACTGTTTCCCGGGGGACCCTATTAGCCCTCCTCTCCCCCATCCTAGGCCACACAGCTGTGACCTGCTATGGTAAGGCTGGCGTGTGCTGAGCTCCTGCTGTGTGCAGGCCTGGGTGGGCCACGGGGGCCCATGAGACCAGAGCACCTGGCACTGTGGGTGGGAGCCATGTCTGGGCAAGGCTGAGGGCCTCGTGGCTGTCCAGGCAGGCCGAAGGTGTTCTCGTCATGGTGCTGCTGACTGCCCTGACTGTGCGCCGCTCGGACCCGTCCTTCTCTACCTGCAAGAGCGGCCAGGACCCACTGGACTGGCAGGGTGAGTGTCCTGGCCCATGGGAGCCCCCAGAACACCGGCAAAGAGGGCCGGGCCTGGGCATCCACCTGCTCCAGCTTGAGAACCTCCCTCCAGGGGCCCTTTTGCTGTCCTCGGTGGGTGGCTGCTGGACACCCAAGGGCTGGGGGCAGGAAGGGGTCAGAGGGCAGCAGGAAGAACCCCCAGCTCAGCATGGTGGAAGCAGCCCTGAGACCCTTACAAAGCCCAACCTCTAAACCCTGTGTGAGTTGTTTTAAAATGAGATCAGAAAAAGAAAAAAGAGAGAGAGGGAGACAGAGACAGAGAGAAGGAAACAGACAGACACAGAGACAGAGGGAAAGAGAGAGAGACAGACAGACACAGAGACAGAGAGGGAGAGATGGAAGTGGGGGTGGCTGCCAGAGAGGTGGAGTGTTGCATGCCACACCCTGAGATTGGTGCCAGTGACCCTGTCTGTAAAGGAACTTCAGGCCCGCTGGGGCCTAGGGTGGGATCTGTTCCTAGGTTCACTGTGTGGTCATGGTTAGTGGGGTCAGCTGGGGCTCTGCCGGCCACGCTGTGTCCTGTGGGGTGAGCCTCAGGCTGAGCTGCCTCTGTTCCCCCAGTGTCCATGCTGCTGATGGCCGGCCTGTGCACCCTCTTCAGCTGCTGCTTGGTGCTCTTTTTCCACACCCCCTACCGGCGCATGCAGGCTGAGGCCAGTGTGAGCCCCTCCATCCAGGAGTGTGAGTGCCCAGTGGCCACTGAGGACCACACATCCTCCCAGCAGACCCTCCCCAAGGCCCCACCCACTGATGCTATGGGAAGCCCAGGGGCTACTTATTCCTAGAGACTCTCCTGGACTTGCAGGGACATCACAGGGGCCCTGCCAGGCCCAGGGACTGAGAAGCCAGCCTGAGGCGTGGAGGGAGTTGGGAGAGGCAGGCTGTGGTCACCTGGGCTGTGACAGCCACTGCTGAGCCTGGGCAGAAAGTCAGTATCCTACAGATGCCACAGGGACTGTAGCGAGCACAGCAAGATGTCCCGGTGGCTATGCCAGACCAAGGGTGGCTGGTGCAAGGGCAGAGTATGGTGGACATGGCTGATGGGGAGATGGATGGGTTGGGGGTCCTGAGGGCTCCCAGATATCAGAGTTTAGAATGCACAGGTGTGGGGAGAGCCTTCCTTGAAGGAGCCCATCCCAGAGCCTGTCTCAGCCTCGAGTCACCAAGTGACCAAACACCCAGCCTGGTGCTGACAGGTGGGCCAGGTTGGGCTTGGGGGGAGCAGACGGAGGGCCCCACAGGCAGTGTCCCTCCTGCCCCAGGTGGACACGTCTCCCTTCTCACAGACACTTGCAGGCGGGTTTGTGGGTTCAGGTTTATTGAACTGGCCACAGCCTGGGTGGGGGTGGGGATGGGGGGCATCCCTCACTCCTCCTTCTCCTCCCCGTGGGTGAGCACATAGCTCAGCGCCTTGTAGTCCAAGTTGCCTGTAGCGTCGATGGTTGCAAACTGCATCGTCTGGTCGACCTGCACACAGGGTGGTGGGGGGTTCAGGCCCAGGCAGGAGAGGAAGAGCGAAAGGGTTCCTAAGGGCTGCAGCCCAAGGGTAAATTACAGGCCCTGAACTCCAGCTGGCTCCGGTCTTGTCTCTGCACTTGTTGGGGGTGAGGGGTGGGCTGGGGCTCAGCCACTGGGTGTCCCACCCACACCAGCTCTACAGCCTCTTGGCCAGGGCGCACCCTCAGCCAACCCCTGGAGTCCCGAGGGCCATGGGGGAAGGAGGTGGGGTGGGGGCCAAGGGGCCAAACCTCCTCTGCAGTCATCTTGTCCTCCCTGGGACAAGGAGGGAGATGCCAGTTAGGCTGTTCTGAAGAAAGGGTCAGCACTGGACAGTTGGACAGTGACCGGGGGGTAGGCTGTGACCTGGTCGGTTCACATAGTGCTCCTCCATGGGGGTAGGGACACCCATGGTGGGCTCACAGAGTGGGCACCAGGATTCTTCCCCAACACACATGCAGGGGTCACCTCCCCTGGGGGGGCGGAGACTGAGGACGATCGGAGGCAAGTCGGGCACACCAGACATGCCGTTTCCAGTGCTTGTCTTTCCAGGGGGCCCCTAACCCAGTGCTGGGCATGGGGCAGGACTGGTTTACCCTTGGTTACCTTGAGGGACTCAGGATCTGGGGGAAGCTGGGGTGGGGATGGGCTCGGTGTTTCTCAGACCCTGAGGCCACTCACTAGTCCTTGTTGATGCGGCCTTTGCCTTCGGGGTCCAGCATCTTGAAGGCATTTAGGATGGTCTCCTCGGCATCCGTACCTGCCACAGAGACTCCAGTCCTGTTCCTGCCATGCACCCCCTCCACTGCGCCCTCAGCCTGAATGGCCTCCTGCTCCTAAGCGCCTGGGACAAGTGCATTCCTGCCCTGGGGGGGCTACTCTCAGGGTCCTCAGGGCCCCGCCTAAGCCCAGCACTGGGGCAGGTGCTCAGTGGTGAGGGACAGAGGTCACCAGTGACCGACAGGAGGCGGGGCTGGGGCTGGGTGTCAAGCTTACAGGCTCTAGGGGAAAGAGTACAGGAGACGTGGGGGGCCCACTCTTGCGGGTCCCAGAATGCCAATTCCTATGGCTTTCCAAGATCTGAACATTTGGATTTTCTGTGAAATGTCTGGGTTTCTAAATAAACACACTGTACTGGCTGACAGCCAGAGGCTCACCGGTCAGCTTTTCCCCAAACATGTTCAGGAACATGGTAAAGTTGATGGCCCCGTGGCCTCCTGGAGCATGGCGTCCAGCTCTTCGTCCTTGATGTTGGTCTTGCCTGTTGCACACATGGGGTCACTGTGTGGGAATGCCCCCTGGCCTTAATGCAGGCACTGTACCTACTGGCAGGTGCCCCGCAGGGCTGCCCACGTCCGTCATCCTTTAGGTGACCCCAGATCAAAGTTGGGGAGACTGTGAAGAGGGAGGCCAGCAAATGGGGGACCCCTGGCCCAGATGTGGCAGGTACAAGTTCTGCTTGTTAGCAGAACCCCAAATCCTGAACCCCGGGAAGGTGGACTCCTGAGGAGAGGGGAGAGGAGGCCACGTGGAGCCAGGAAGGTCTGTGGCCTGCTTACCTGGGCATAAGGGGGGCCCAGTGGGAAGGCAGGTCTATGCAAGTCCCCACAAGTAGAAACCAGCCTGTTCTTCCTGGGTCCAAGGGCAGGACCATCTCAGGCTGAGAAAAGCATGTCACCAGATGGGGAGTAGAAGGGAGGGCGGGACCCACTTCTGGCTCTTGCTCTGTCCCAGGCAGTGGTATCCCTCCCTGGACCCAGTCCCAGCCATCCCCCTCCCCTGCTTGGGCTGTCCACCCCCCCCC